GCGGCACTTGCAGTACAATTAGGTTACAAATGTGTTTCAGTTAGTGTTTTAAGGCACTTGCAACACAATACAGCAAAATAAGCGCCGAAGATTAGAGGTGTTACAAGAGTAACAAACACAAAAAGGAGGAGAGATAAGGACGACGGATGTTTGATAGGAAAGAAGAAGCAAATCACTCCAGAGCACCCGCCAACCATCCACCAATTAGGTTATATAAGTGCTGGAGATAAGAGGTGTTTCAAGACATTAAAGAATAGTTTATGTCTGTCTGTCTCTGTCTCACTCGCGTGCACGCGATCACACGGAGTCAAAAACCTAATAGACAATAGATGTTTGATAGGAATTAAACAAAGAGAAAACCACACCTGCCATCCACCCATTTGTTTTCGTGATACGTATGTTACGTCTTGGACAACGAACGCGAGTACAGTGTACATTTTCTAAGAGGGCTCCAGTGGCTAAGTGAGTAGTGAGTTTAGACTCAAGCTCCTTGGTGTGAGACGTGAGGCCCGTATCTCGAGCCAAATACGTTTCTATCGCAAGCTGCTATGTGATTTTATTCAATTCGAGGACGAAAGCATCAAAACAAAACAAAAAGTGAAGTTAGGAGACCGTGACATTGGGTCCGTAGCCTGCTTTTGCCCTTCATGAATTTCTAAGCTCCTTGGACTCGGGTAACGTCAAGCAAGTGTCGGTGACACGGGATCAGATGGGTGGTCACTGGGGTGTCCTTGGGCAAGACACGACAACCCTACCTCAAATTATTATAAGGCGCTGCACAGTGGCGACAGACAGAGGCATGGTTGTATACTGTTCTGTATTTATGTAATATTTATGTATTTTTTCATGTATTTATGTATGTAGGCTTACATATTTATAATTATGTATATTTATGTAATGTGAATGTATTTTGCCATTGTAAACCAAAGTGCCCTTTCGGGACAAATAAAAGTGTAATCTATTTATTTTTTATTCATTAACTCATTTTTGAGGAGAAAAGTGGTTGTCTTAGAAAGGTCGTGGACGTCTTATACAATGTCATTATATATACATTTTTTAATAGCAAAAAAGGGGGACGGGGGAGGGGGGGGGGGGGAGAATCGGAAGTTGCCGTTTGTACAAGTGCAAGTGATTTTCATAAACAGGTAGCCGTTAGTGCAGGTTCCACTGTACATGAAGAATGTGTGTGTGCGCGCGCGCGCGCGTGTGTGTGTGTGTGTGTGTGTGTGTGTGTGAGTGTGTGTAGGCTAAGCTTAAAACACTGGTTCAGAAAGAACCAAACTAGGATTCGAAACCAGTCCGTCTTCCATTTAGTCAAGTCTCAACTCATACTTACTAAATACAATTGAACCTGCTCTAACAACCAACTGCCCAAGGACAATCTGTACAAGCAGCCATTTTCGACTTCTCTCTTGCATTCTTTATTTTTTATTTTTTATAACAATGACACTGTCCAAGACATCCATCTGACAACCACTTTTCTCCTCGACAACGAGGGGTCGTTTTGAACAATTTTGACTTGTTTGTCCATCTACTAACTACTACTGCTTCTAGCTTGTCAGCTGGTTGCTAAAACTACATAGCAAGTAGGGCGCATACTACTAGCATCTGCATTTGTTGTTATTTTTTGGTTCAAAAGTTGCCATATAATGGCAAAAGTTGCCGAAAAAGTTGCCATTTATTTTCAAACTTTCAACTCTCGTGGCGATGTATATACAGTGGAGTCCACTTATAACGAGTCCGGAAAAAACGAGAAGCCTCTTATAAAGACACTATTCTAAAACCCCGTTTTTTTCTCTTCTCTACGTTTGTAAATAAAAAAAATACTGCTATAGCACAATCAGACAAACTCGACAAACACGCGAGTCGGTTATTACGGAATATTGCCAATTATACATAATGTGACACCCCACAAGTTGAGAAACTAGTTGGTGATCAAGCAAAACAAAGAATGGGAGCTATGTGTGTCAACAATGAAGACCGGAGCGAATGAGTAGGGAGGGTGTGGCATACTCAGACAAGCAGAACGCATCGCGTGATACGCCAGCGTAAGCCTAGTTTGAATTATCAAAGCCTATTACTATCAATCATGCCTTTCACTTCTCGGATGCGGGGATGGAGAGGTCACATTGCTGTGATGGATGGAGTGAATGTGTGACGTGCGCAAGCTGACGGAATGCACCACAGGATGTGGTGGGGTGGGGGAAAACAGCGGGTGAGTTAGCCTAGAGCCCTTTCTTTCTGATCGCCAACGCCGAGCTGTTAGCCAAGATCGCTAGATCTAGCGCTAGAGAAAGAAACCTGATTCGATTTTTTATCAAGTAAGACC